TCTTGTTGGATTATTTATTACTTCGACACTCTTACACTTTAGAGAAGATATTAATTTTTTGTTCATGTTAATAACGTGACTTTAATGAATTTGGATCAACACTTAGATGATAAAGGCGTTCAATAATTGCATGTTCTAATCAAAGAGTTGAAGTATTATTAGATGATGAATGTTGACTACCTTTTGAACTACCAAGAAGAAAACAAGGCAACTTGAGAATTGTTGAGTGATGAGCAAATTATTGAGAATGTCAAAGAAAATGACAAAGAAAATAAGGTTGAAGATAATAGTTTTGTACTAGAGCTTGTATCATGCAAAGATACACTTAAAACAACAATCATATTATATAATTTTATTTTGCAATACATAAATACTATGCTAGAGCTTCCTAAAGCAAAAAGAAAATTATATAAAAGGGAAAATGAGACATTAATTTTTGTTATTTTTCCAGCATTGATTATGATATTTTACCTAGTATAAATAGGGTTATTTAGCTTTAATTTATGTTTTTTAAAAAATTAATAACAAATGGATTGATTTTAGAGTAATAATTGTTTGTGTGTACAGAATACTCATACTTTTTGGTTCTTAAAAGAGCTAAAATTGATTTATCAAATGAAAATTATCTTTATGATATCGTCTTTATACTTCTCATTTGTAATTCGTTAATCATTAGGTGGGGTTTGAATTCTACTAATGTTGGTTCTTGAGTTTAAGATACTTTTTGTGTCACAATTTCTATCTTAACTATGATTTTTTTTTTTTTTATCAAACTTGCTTGTGGGTTTCTAGATCTTTATATTCATAAGGTTCACATTAGTTGTTATTAGAGAAAGACTCTAAAATCGAGTTTTATCTATCTATCATTAAATTCAATTTAGTTTATATCTTGATTTTTTTTGTCAGGTTCTTGTTTTCATTTTTTATCATAGTTCTTGTGTCTTGAATTTCAACCTTTTCTCCAATATCGCTTAATGTTGCATTTACTTTAACACATACACTAATTAGTACTTAAAAATGCATTTTTACCAAGGCTTTATATCATTATTTTGCACTTAAAGTATCAATAACTTCTTAACTAGAGCATGCTTTATAATAACAAGTCTGATAATATAAAATACCCTTAATTTATAGTAAATTCTTATTTTAAATACAAATATTCTTACAATTCATAGGATTGATTGTTGTGATTAACTATTGGAAGTGAAAGGACAAAGAAAAGGCTAAGCTTAAGAAGGAGATGTCGATTCAATTTAAATTTAAACACTGTTCAGTTATTGGATCATATCCAGAGTTGTAGATCTTGGATTTTAGATTAATTTATATGGCTGGAAAGATAAGAAATAGATCTACAACTTTTATGGGTATAGAAAGACCAAAATTTTCTATTTTCAAATTCAAAGTTTGGCTACAAAAGAGAAGTCAAAATCTATCTTGCAATCCAGCCCAAATACTGCTCAAAGTTATACCCATAACTAGAGTTCTAGAATGTTAAATGACGTGAAATTTGGTGGGTGGAAGGAAAAGACAATTTGCAACAACTTTTATATAGAAGACCAGCTCAAATTCTGATGGTAGAAATGACATTTTATTTAGACAAAAGCTTAAGGGCTATCTATCACGTCCACTAGCAGCACTGCTCAGTATTTTAGACATATCTGAAGCTGTAGTGCTCTAAATACTTTGAAATTTGGTAGATGGAAGGAAAAGACAATTTCCAACAACTTTCATGAAGAACACTTTATCAAATTCTGATTGAA